GAACAGGGGAGATCTCCACTTGAACAAGGGAACATAATGCAAATCAGTTCGTTTGCCTCTTCTCGTAGTGGATCGGGGTGCTGAGGCATGTTAGGGAGTTGCCTGATTCTCAGCAGTAAATTTACTGGTACCCTATGCGATAGTGATCAACCAATACGCAGTTAAGGCATCAGTCACGGCAGAGGTGAGGGCAAAGGTCTCTTTAGTGTTCACTCGCTCTTTAAAAAGTGTCAAGAGGTAACCTCCACTGTGTCTCCAAGACTACTGAATGAAGCTCATTTCACTTCGATGAAAGGATATCGTCTGAGCTCAAGCGGGCGGCAATACGTACGTCCTCACATCACATCGAGCACTTCCAAAAGCAATTTAACGTCATCAGCTGCTTAATGAATCCGCCAGTTCGTATGTGATATCATTTCCGACCTGTTTCCAGAACTAAGCTTCAGCTATATTGATGGCGAAATCTCCGTCCGCGGTATGTAACTAGACTGTGTCACAAATCTCGCGACGGCATCCAAGACAGGCAAGCGCCTTTTCAGCGGTCTCACTGAAGAGCTTTGAGAGACCGAGGCATAAGTTGGTGCCGCGGCGCCGATCGTAGCTTAGTTGGCTGGTTGATCAAATCAATCCGAGTTAGCAAAGCCAGGAGTTGGCCTCAGGAGTTCTCGTAGAACCTTGGCGGCCGATTAGGCATAGCTGAGTGTGTGGACATGTCTGCCTTAGTCGATGAGGAACCTTAGCCACTATCGACAACAAGATTCGCTACATGAGTTACAAGGAAGCAGCAGGGCCTGCGAAGAGGTTTGCTGGAGAATGTTGACTCAAATAGCTGGGATGAACGCCATGTACGCTGCCGCGCTGCCGCGCAAATTACAGAATCTAGCCAATCGCATTTGTCTCTACAGAACATCGAACGGATTCCGGGACGAAGGATCTGGAACTACCCCGGCGTCGTTCGTTTTCCTAAAGACTCCATTAAATAACCCATGACGTGCATCATAACCGCGCCCACCAGTCGCATCTCTCATCTTTGCTCCATTGCTCACCACAGCCCCCCTGCGAAGACCCGCGATGTACCGTGCCTACCTTACCCTAGATCGCCAACCATGGAGCCGATCATCCGTAATTCGTTTTGCAGCGTTTTTACAATTACAGACTTCTCCCACCGCCAACCGAATCGAGAGTCTCGAAATGCGAGTTCTGACCCATGATTGGCGGCTCAAGGTGAAACACACCATGCTGAGACCATGTGGTCCACCACTCAACGTTGAATCGGCCGAGAACCCGATAGCTTGTTTGGGAATTCGCTTTTGATTCCATCTTGGGATGGTCCAGCAACCCCAGTCTTGGCCCCGCCAGGTCGGAGGCGACTCTTTGATGGGGGACCCTCGCGACTTTCAACGTCCTGTAGCCAACTCGACTGTTTTCTAGCCACGCTCCTTGCATTCTCTGTCACAAATGAGCTGAAGTTGATCCATAGCAGCCTCGGCTGGTTCGATTGCCGCGATAGACGGAAAACGGTGGTCGATATTGACTCAGCTTTCGGACTGACGTCTGCCATCGCAACTCAACATATAAGTAGTGCAGCGTCCCCTCGTCCCATGTTATCTTTTCCTTTGATAGAAGTATTCAGAGTAACTCGACGCCAACGTAGCATCTGCCCAACGAACAACCTTTCCTGTCAAAATCACTAGTGCAGAGCGCTTATTTCAATTCCGCAAACATGGTCTATTCGCCCGTCGTCGCTTTAGGTTTTCTGGGCGCCCTGCAGGGCAGGAGCGAGGTCTATTCTCGACAGACAAACGCGACGGGCTGTGCGACGGGCGTGCACATGATTGTGGCCCGGGCCAGCACCGAGCAGCCGGGCACGGGAGTCATTGGTGCCATCGCGAATAGCATACAGTCGCAGATTCCGGGATCCGATATTGTCCCGGTCGACTATCCTGCGCTACTCAACCCCTATCAGCCGTCGCAGAAGGCTGGCGTCACGGCGATGACGAAGCTGGTCCAGGACTACGCCAAGGCGTGCCCCCAGACGAAAATGGTTCTCATGGGATACTCGCAAGTAAGTGGTTGCTCATCGTGACCAGAAAGAGACAGGAAGACTTACAGACAATGAAGGGAGCGCATGTCACTGCCGATGTCCTTTGCGGCACAAGCGAGACCGGGTTCGCGTCAACAGAGCCCCAGGCTACTGACGTTACGGATAAAAGTACGTTCCGGGTGATATCGAGAGATCTTTACCAGGCACTGACATGAACTTAGTTGCCGCCGTCGTCCTCATGGGCGACCCAAGCCACGTGACCGGGCAGCCCTTCGATCAGGGAACGAGCCAGAAGAACGGCGTAAGCAAGACGACGAAGAACCTCTCCGGCCAGGACAGATTTTGCTGACCAATTCGCCTTCTAGATCTTTCCAAGAACCAAGACTGCCGGGTGCGACGCCGTCTCGAGCAAAATGGCCTCCTTCTGCAACAGCGGCGACCCGTTCTGCGACAGCGGGGCCAACATCCAGGTTCACCTGAGTTACGTCCAGTCGGATGGGGACGCAGCCACAAAGTTCATCATGTCCAAGGTCGGCGGCGGCGCTGCGGCATGACTGGGAGAAGGCACGGGGACGAGCCAGTCTGTCAGCCTGCGCTTTTTACTGTACATGACTCTGCTGGCACAGATTGTTGGTTTACTGATCTTGTGAAGGGGATCTTTGCCATGATTTCTTCATGAGCTTGGCACCGGTAAATACCTTGGTCTTTCATGTTGTTACATATGAATAAGTTAAGCATAGTTAGCGTTCAAATACATGTTTGGTCTTAACACATACCCTTGTCACGAAGATAGATATTCACCCACGTGTCTTTCGACCAGTCAAAGACTCATCATGACCAACGGCTGTCCACTATGAGTCTATGGCCTATCTTCAACGTGAAGGCTTTTGGTCGAGGCTGGAAAGCGTAATCAGTATCTCGCAAAGGGCATGGCGAAATGGTCAAACTTCTGTGGGACTGCTAAGGAACACGCATGTCTGGAGAAAAGGCACGGAGGCTTAATCAGTACTTTTGACGGGCAAAAAGCTCTTCTAGCTTGCCAGGAAAGCCGTAATTGAGATTTGGGTGGTCCACTGCATGTCAAAAGTACCCCATATCCTCGCAATGGGCTTGACATACCGGGAGATTCTCAAACCTTGGTGGTTATCCTGTTAAGTACAGAATGGCATCAGTAGATAGGTACGTACTCTGTATAAGGGGCAGCAACGAATCAAATATTATCCCATTTTATATTATATTTTTGGCGTATATATTCTTCCTGACGTAACCAATGAAAAGTCTAAGAAGGGATTAGCGTTATTGAAAATCAGCGGCGTGTGAATTGATGCCTTTTTACATTCAATGGATTGGCTGACCTCGCAAATTACCTTAGGTCATCGTCGGCGGAAAATGGTACAAGGGCAATAGGTACTGTGGTAGGAGATTGACGACTTTATTCAAGCTGATCCATCGGCTAACCTCTCCCGTGACTGCATATTCTAGCAAGAATACTCCGTGACAAAAGGGGGGTATCTAGAGGAAGACGCAAGTAGGTGGTGTTTGATTGACTGGATAGGCCAGCCGTGGTGTCATCCCCCCTGAAGATCAAATGTACATTCACAATGTCTTCCTTTATTATTCCTCCATCGCGATGAACGTGGATGTCGGCTCTTGTTTCAAAAACAATCAGTCGCGGGAAACAAACGCCCTTTTATGGTGTTGAGATTCTCTAACAGGCGTCCCAATCAGCCGGAGGAAATCAGACCTGGTAGCGGGATGGCTCGACGGGGACCACTTGGACGCTCATGCAGGTACCAACGCCCCCCCCCCCTAACCTTGGCAGTAACCTTACTTACCTTGAGTGTCTACCTCATGACTATCCCGGCAAGAACACTCCGTGACGAAGCGTTGTTATCTGGTGCAAGATAGGTAGAGTTTGCTCGGTTAATCGAGTCATGGTATGGTCTCTCTAGAGTTCAATTTCCCTCTGCCTTCGGCAATCCTCTTGTTGCCCCTGTTTTAAGCAATCCACTCTTTCTTCCCCACGGCCATGGAGATGGATTGATGTCGGAAAGAGTACCAATTGCGGACAGTCAACGTCTAATCATATCGCGGTAAGTCCCCCACAGGCGTTCCAAGCACTCGGGAACCCAAGTACCGGGAAGTGATTGGGAACCCAGGCACTTGGGAGCATAGCTTGGTGGCGGGATGGCCCGACGGGTGCTTTTAAGGTTAAAATAATCGGCCATTCAGGCGTTAATGGCCCGCTTTAACCTTGACTACCGCCAATTTACTTTCTTCGATAACAAGGTACGTAGACTGCCGCCATGTCTCCATCTTCGTGGCGTCTTGCTACAGAAATGTGTCAATCTTGTCGGTGTTCCTGGATACTTGCTAGGTCTTTCTCATATCAAATCTCCGGCACAAGCTACGACGACTTTGTGAATTCGCTGGTATTATGGAGCTATGGGAGGATGACTTCGACTCAATAGTGACCTTCTCTCGCAACCGGGATTAGTATTTGCTGTTTCCATAGGCCGATTTTCTATTCTCCAGTCTATTGTGCCATCTATTGCTATGCCAGGCCATCTATGTTACCATCCCTGGGCCCTTCAGTGCCACTGTTGGTCAAGCCAGGCCGCAAATCCCACTGTCTCTCACTTTTACACTTCGCTCGAGTTTTGGTCCGGCTTAAAACCTCTACGCCCCCTGGCGTTTGGCGTCGTGATCTGTCGCTCATGGTACTTACTCGACATTGTTCTTCCAAGCCCTAATAGGGTTGATGAAATCGGGTGAAGTAGAGACCTCTACGGATCGCGTGCTCAGCAACGTATATAGAGGAGCCCATTTCCCCCTTCCCTGCTGTTCAATTCTGTCATCCTTCATCTCACTCACAATCGTCTACACGCAAGAGTAAGTCTACCAACTGTAAGTTTTTCATTCAGTCAGTTCGCAAGAAACCAAAAACAACATCACAATGTCTTCCTTTTCTCAAGTTTCTTTCCCCGTCGAGATGGAGTTGGATTCTCCCCCCACTTCATCCTTCGGTTCTTCTTCTTCTTTCACTCCCTCCGAAGGCAGACCTATCCCATCTGTCTTTGGAAATCCCTTCCTTCCTTCTCCCTCCAAAGGCAGGCTTCTTCCCCCTGCCTTTGGAGCTCCCTCCTCTCTCTCTTCTTCTTCTTCTCCTCAGCCGGTTGGCTCTCAGGTTGGCTCTCACACCGACTCTGATCCAACCGAAGATCTCATCCAAGACTTCTCCTCCTTTGCCATAGGGGCTGGCCCTCTCCCCCCTGCTCTTACCAAGCAGGTAGCCGCCCCTATTCACCCCCTCTCTCTTATGGCTGCTCGAGTCGCTTGGGCTAAGTGCAAGAAGAGCAAGTGCTCTCCCTCTGGCAATCACTTCCGCCAGAATCACCCCCTCTACCGCAAGTACTCCAACCTCTCTCTCTTCTCTTCTTCCCCCAAGAACCGCTCCAAGAGTGGCGATATCCCCCGTGGCCCCTCCTCTTCTTCTCCGGCGCCTGTGAATCCCTTCAAGGCCAAGCCTGAAGGTATTCGCAAGCGCCGTGGCCGGGGTCAGGGCAGAGCTCAGGTGAAGCAGCATCAGGCTCAGGGCAATGGTCAGACTCCTCCCCGTGGCCCTCGGAACTCTTCCCCTGATCAGCGTCGGTCTAATCCCCAGCCCGCTCGAGGTCAGCCTCGCGGGTCTAGACCGAATGGCAATCAGGGCCCGAGGGCTGCTCAGTCTGTTAACCGCAATCCCTTTACGCCTGTTGCTGTGAATCCGTTCTCTCGTCCCTTGCCCCAGGCATCCGCTCCCGCTCCCCCTTCTCAGCCACGCAATCGTCGCTCTCGGGGCGGTTCTCGCCGCAACCCCATCACTCTCTGAGTACTTGTTTCCCTCTCTTGTTTTTCTTTCTGTACTTTGTTTTCTTCTTGCACTTACACAAAAGCCCAAAAAAACTTGAAAAGCCTAAAGAGAAAAAAAAAATCCCGTTTCCTTTGTCTTGGTTTGAGATCTTCATTCTTGCGCTCCGCTTCCGTTTTCTTTTGTTTTTGTTTTTGCTTTTCTTTCTCTCTTCTCTCTCTCTCCCCTTCTCTCTTCTCTCCGATGTTGTTTTTGGTTTCTGGCGAATTGGTAGACTTTTTATCGCTTGCGTGTAGGCGATTATTTTACCTCCCTGGCCCCGGCGAGCCACCATCGCGAAATCGCCTTTCTCCCCTCCCCCTTTCCTCCAAGGCCCCAGTGAGCCACCTTCGGGAAGTCACTCTTCTCCCCACCCCCATCCTCCAAGGCCCCGGCGAGCCATCTTTGGAAAATCGCCTTTCTCCCCACCCTCTTTTCTCTCCCTGGCCCCAGCGAGCCGCTATCATGAAATCGCTTCTCTACCCACCCTCTTTTCTCTCTCCGGCCCCAGTGAGCCACCATTGTGAAATCACTCTTCTCCCCACCTTCTCTTCTCTCCTCGGCCCCGGTGAGCCTATCACTACTTCTCTGGGCGATGAAGTCGGACTCCAAACCTCCCCGTGGTATTGCCTGGGAACTTCCTCTCCTTCATTGGATTGGTTGCTAAGTCCTTCGGGACTGGAGACGCACACATTAGTAATTTGTTTCTTCTCACTTTTGGTTGATACACTTAATTTTAGGCTACTCACTTCTTTCTTCATGCCGCTGTGATTTGGTGTTGCTAACGTGGCAGGCTGGCTGCACTTGCTTCTTGGGTAAGATCCCCAGGCTGAGCAGCATGTGTCTAAGGTGGGTTCTCAACCTCATTCCTCTTCTCACTCGTATCCCATCTGACTAACTCGTAAATGAATCATCTCGCTAGTGTTAACTCCAACAACTTTCTCGCAACTTAACAGCCTCTCTGGTTGGCTGACTTACCTACAGTCACAACAAACTTGAAGACTTCATTCTCACTCAACTTAATCAACAATGATCAAGTCTAGTTAGTAAGTAATTTGACACCTTCCTTATTTCCTTCGAGAGAATCGAGATGATCTAACTCTCACAATGTGACAACTGAAGTCGGACATGAATCAAGAGAATGAGAGGAGCTGACAAACTCATGTTTAGAATGAAGTCATTGGAAAGTGCGTAATTACCTTTTGATGAGTCGCGTGTTGCGTGTCACGACGTTCAAAGTTGTGGCTGACTGCCCCGTGTGGCCCGGTTGCTTCCGTGCTGTGGCTGATGCTGCTACCCGGGCCGGGTGAGGAGGGTGTGGCCGGGGCCTCAAAGTTTTCCTCGCGTCGCCCGCCCGGCTTGTCCGTCAGGGCCCGAACTCCGGCGTTCGCTCAGGGGCCATGTCGAACGAAGCTAGGGCCAAACTCAAATTGACAGGAAACCCTCCAAATTTGCAAAGATTGAGTACGAGTGCGAATAGCTCGTTCAATTGGGGTATCACTCGAGAAGCCGAGCGAGTCCGAGTCTTTTGCCTAGGTCATGTTGTACTAGCCGTGGATAGTGCTAATCATACATTGTACCGGAATCTGCTCTTTGCAATCACACTGCCCAGAGCTATTGCGCCGCCCAGGCATGAGAATGCCCTGTGAGTAGAGATTGCTCTTACCGAATGTCATGCGACCATACATTTATGCGCTAGTCTTCTTCACTAATCCAAGTTAGCAAATGAAGCGTATGGCTCTCAAAGTTCACTACCTGATGCATCGCAAGCTCGGAAGACTATTATACAACGGGTGGTTGAGTTCTCGTATGGAGAAGTCCGTTATGAGATGTGCTTTAATACAGTTTAACCTTACACACTCTGATTGACTAGCAGGGCCGGACATCGTGAGAGGCATCTGAGACTCTGAGCATGTGTTGTTGAATATGGGATATTTAAAGCAGGCTACTTCATGCTGCTTTCGGTTGTTGACACTATTCACTTGCACTGGCAATCGATCTACATCTAGTACTGCAACTCCCTTCTCTAGTCCCACCGCACTCATCAATACCTTAAATGTTATCCTCAAAGTTCTTCCGAGGTCTTTGCGCCCTCTTCATCGTCCTTCTCGGGGCCAACTTCGCCACGGCATCCCCAGTCGCCGTCAACGCGGATCTAGCCGCCCGCGCCCCGGCCACAGAAGACACCTCCGTCGCCGCCCGCGCCTCAGGCGGCGGCTGGTGCTGGCCCTTCTGCAACCCCTTCAACCGCGGCCTCCCCAACGTCCCGAACCGCTTCGACTTCCGCCCGCCCGCGTCGACGGCCCGCCCGCAGTACTTTGATACCCCGGATAACCAAGTCACCCTCCGCGCCGAGACACAGACTACGGGCGCCGTGCTGGTGACCGTCTCGGTCGGTACGCGGTACACCCTGCCCGCGCACTCTGAGATTAACGTGCGGCTTCTGGTGCGGGGCACGCACATTGATTTCAATCACGCTAATCTGGAGTTTGGGAGCGAGACGGCGGTGGTGAGGATTACGCCGGAGCAGGCTGCTGCTTTCAGGACTGGTGAGAGGAGCGAGGATGGGTCTTTTAAGATTACGCTTTTGTATAAGTTGGGTCAGGACTTGTGAGCGAGTCCGAGGTTCTGGTAATTGGGGTTCTCGCGGCTAGAATTGCTGGCGCAGCGAGGACGCGCTTGGATGACGATTTCACCATGGGCAGGCAGCACTGCAAGGGATATCTATTCGAACAGAATTCAATAGCTTACGGGACTTGTCAAATTTGATTAGGAATGAAGGCAAATGACTTGTGCTACGTTACTACTATTGTCAGAGAACCCAAAGATATCAAAAACAGCCCATCCTCGGCGTCTTCGTGATGGGGCCCAATGGACGTTGGGGCTACAGAGGGAGCTGCCGGGGTGGCTTAGGTGCCCCGGGCGAGCGGGTGGCCGGCCACTGTAGGCCCTGTAGCCCGTTGAAGCCTGCCACTGCAGATCTCACAACTTCCTCTCACAACTCAGTATTATAACAATGACATGGTGTCCGGGCATGCTGCCTTCGTAAACATCGACTGGGATAAAAACATCCACGCACTACAGGAATAAGATCAGGTTTGATAGGCTTCTCAATGAATGCACTTGGTGTCTCAGGGTAGAGAAGTTGTTACCTGTTTCCGTAGTCTCGGCTGATATGCTACCAGGTATCGCACGTCCTTCACCAGATATGCTGCAACCTTCATTTGGGGGCAACTGGTCGTAAAGATAAGCTTGCGTCGTCCACCAATCCCAGCTTTCTGAAGGGCGGGACGTGCATGCGGTCGCATCTCACTCATCATCATCTTATCTCGACTGCCAGGAGCATGAGTGAGATGTGTAGACGACGAGGTTCACCAGGGACATGGTCGACTGCTTTAACGTCGTGATCGTCGCAAAGCTCATGAACCATTCGTCTGCTTGCTGCGTCATTCGAGTTGTGTATTCATTCTTTAGCACGTATCCAGATCCCAGACAGGTACTCTGTGAGAGCCCAATCGAATCGCCATGGCAGAAAAGACGAAGTACGTTGAACGGGTAATCCCCGAGGTGTGTCCTCGTGCCTTGCTCTGATGACTGGTCGTGCGAGAGAACTAAAAGAGATATTTCCCATCATAGATCTCCCTCCGTGATTTCGACAGCCGCATCGATGAAATCACCTCTCAGCTATGTGGCGCCGCTGAGAACGTCGGCTTCTTCTCCATCAAGGACCACGGCCTAAGCCAATCCGAAGTCGACGAGATGTTCTCCGTGTCCGAGTCTTTCTTCGCCCTACCAGATGAAGCAAAGGCCACCGTCCCATGGAGTCCCAAAAACGTCGGCTGGGAGAAGCTGTCACAGATCAGACCGTCCACGGGTGCAGCCGACCAGAAGGAGTCATATCAACTCCAATTTGGGGAAAACATGAACGGCGTCTGGGCCAGCGATGAGATCCTCCCCGGCTTCAAGGAACAGTCTCTGGCCTTCATGCATCGTGTGCAGTCCATCTCGGAAAGGTTAATGCTCTGCCTAGCCCGGGGCCTTGGCTTCCAGGACGACTACTTCATCAAGTACCACGATGCCACCCACCCCGGCGCGCAGTCTGTGCTCCGACTTCTGCATTACTTTGAAACTCCGCGCGTCAATGATGGAAAGGTGTATCATCGAGCAGGCGCCCATGCGGATTGGGGATTTTTGACGCTTCTATTTCAACGCGAAGGCCAATCAGGACTCGAGATATGTCCTGGTCGTGAGGCTGTCAGCGAGCATGCCCTGGGTGACCAATGGACAAAGGTCGAGATCAAGCCCGGAGTCATCATATGTAATATCGGCGACTTGCTCATGAGTTGGAGCGACGACCGGTTCAAGAGCACTTACCATCGAGTCAAGGCGCCCTGCGAAGAGGGGGATTACTACGGGGAGAGATACAGCATGGCTTTCTTCAACCAGCCGTGTAAGGAGGCTGTCATACAGGGCCCGCTGAAGAAGTATCCGATGGTTACTGGGGAGGAGTTCAACCGTAATGCCATGAACAGGATGTACGCTGCTTTGCAGGCGAAGATGGCTGGGAATGAAGTCAAGAATTGAATGATGGAGAGTGAGACTGGCAATGGAAGGAGTTAGATAGGGCGGTAATTGCGTCGACCCCTGAAGGCAAAACGACTCGCGGAACACTCTCTAAATCATTCCCTTCCGATATCAATGAGTTTTACCTCAAAGCCGCGCCACTCTTTATCATCAAAATGTTCAGAGATCCTTTTTTGCCTTGAGTTGATTTATTACTTCCAGATAAAGCTTACGTCCCTCTCGCTCATGGACACCTCCTTCCACCCAGAGATTGAGACATCCTTCCAGCCTAGAGAATCGCAGCTGATTGTCCCCTTGAAAGAGCGGCAGTCATTTCCAGAGAACACAATATAGCCTCTTCCAGTCTCCCCGGTAGGTGTTGGTAGCGTAGCGTTATGTAGCGAGGGTGTCGCGGTAGGCGTAACGTCTCCGTTCCATTGAAACCAGAATTTGGGAGAGCGAAAGCTGTTCTTCTCGAAATTCTTGAACCGCTTCTGCTCCTCAGCTTCGCTCTCTTCTTCGTCTTCCGTTTCTTCGTTGACTTCCTCCCCTTCCTTGTCGATATAGCCCCCTGCTGTTCCTAGATTGTTGTCTGCCTTCGTCTCATCCTCACTAACATGGTGTCTCGGGACCGAGCCATCTTTCTCATTAGGGTCGTCGGAGACATCATCCTCTTCGTCGCTCCCTTCAAACTGTGATACCAGGTCTTCGAGAACCTTTCTGCTTCCGGTAAGAATGATCCTGGCATCGAGGACCTGGGGTAGGTCCAGCTGTCCCAATAACCCCCTGCCATCTCCCGACAGCCGGTAGATATCCATTGACGGACCAGCAGATTTTCCCTTTCCTCCCTCCGATATCTGTCCTCTCAATTTGGTCGCACTCGGACACTTGATATCGTATCTACCAAATGCTCTCTTGACCTCGAAGGCTCCACCGCGTCGTCCTCGCCCGCCCCCTTTGTTGGACTTGTTTGCTCTGTTGTGGACATGTCTTGATGTAAAAGCTGCGTCTTGCCAGTCGTCCATGGTGTGTGGTTCATTTCAATAGATTTAGGTACTTGACATTTGTACTCATAGTGAGAGTTTAGTTGCGTTGGCGCATTCACACTCAAAGGCGCAAATTGCTGTCTAGAAATGTGAGTCTTGACGTCATATCTTGAGTAGCTCAAATGACCCGAGCGCCCGGCTTTGAGATCATGTCTTGACAACAGCTAGTGAAGGAATTCCATGCTGAGATCGTCAGGAGAAGGATAAAGATGCAAATGGGAAGAAAATTTCTTGACAAGTCTCCGCGTTCATGGAGCTCATTTGAGCCTTTACAAATGGACTGATCGGTGAGATTGAGTGAGCAGCTCATGAAATACGCGCTCATCAGTCTGAATGATCCATGATGAAATGAACCAGAAGCCAGTGGACGTGAATCTCACTCACTGTCGCTCACTAATCACCTGTTGTAAGTTCAAAACTTTGCGACACTAGAAAGCGACCTTAGAAACAGGCCAGTCTAGCCCTTGCGCCGCGATGGGGACGTTGAACGATAGATCGAAGCCATTGCTTGTGGCCCACGATCTGACGGGCGGAGCCGGCTACAACGTTGGCATTCCGCGCACACCAACGCTAGTCAGCGCAATATTCAACTCATCAAAGACGTCGAAACCGCGACGTGTGGATGAACCTTCTCGGCCGGGTTGCCCCCGGACCCGTCAGTGCACGCGTTACATCAGAGGTCGCATGCCCTGTCGAACCTTTCACAGCACTCACCGAGACTGAGAGTGCGAAGGGAGAGAAGAGAGTCTAGACCTTGTGGAAGTAACCTGTTTCCAAGTTCCAACCCCTGTCTCTCACGACTGATGCTCCCCCGCAATGAGCCGCTGGTGGCCCCTCTTCGCCGCTGCGCATCACCGGAGTGTGACGTCAAGCCCGCCAACACAGGAACATTTCCCTGCCCGCCCAATCAGACGCGCAACGCAACGCAAGCAAACCCAGGATTTCCGGTTTTTGGACGACTCCGTCACACGCAATGCCGCTGCTTAGGGAGGACAGAGCTCTGAGCGACATCATAAAGCTCTCTGGTGCACTTTCTAACTTGCTCCCGTTCCCCTCACTCTACTGAACTTTGACCATTGATCATTGAAAACCCCGCGATAGACCAGTACAATACACGCACGAGAAACTTGAAACAGTCTTGGAATACACAGAAAACACCATAGAAAAGAAACACACGAAAACACCACCACAATGTCCGACGACGAGAACAAGGGATCGGGAACCATCTACTCCCGCAACAAGGAAGACACAATCGAAGCCGAGACCCTCCTCTGGCGCGCAATGTGCGACAGCAAGACAAAGCACCTGAAAAGATATCTCGACAAGGAGGCCGTTCTCGCCCACCCGGGCCAGAAGCCCCTCTCCCCCAAATCCAAGCCGACGCTCCAGGAGTACCTCGAGGAGGACTGGGAGCCCTGGACGGCGTACCGCATGCACGACGATCCCGAGTTTGTCGAGATTGACATGATGAGCTCCAGCCTGGTGTACCGTGTCACCGCCTGGCGCCAGGAGGGAAAGAAGCTCGTCGCGACGGAGGGAATTTGCAATAGTGTTTGGAAGCAGGAGCCTGGTGGTGATTGGACTTGCTGCTGCCATCATATGAGCACTGTTTAAACGGGCGAATAAGGGAATGGTTGATGCAAAATTCACGGCTGAGGGGATGATGCATGACTGGAACGGAGAAGGGCGTTTTGTATGAGTAGCGGCATGGCTCGCAGGCGCTATTGTTCTGGGTTGATGGTAATTTATCGTAATGGCATTTTTCTGCACTTGAACCACTGCAATTTATTCATTCTTGCCGTCGCGTGTGCAGTGCATATTCTCTCCGCGATACTCAGTAACAACTGTGCCGGTTGCCCTTCTTCGAAGCCGTTTCATTAACGGGGCGCGTGCGCGTGGTCAGGTATGCATTATTCAATTGACTAGGTTGCCGCGGTAGTGCAGTAAACAAGATCAAGGAGGCACGGTTCTCTGGAGGCAATTGCATGTAGGAAATTTCGCTGCAAAAATGTGTCCAGGATAATCAGGCGCACTATATGTCATTGACATAGGAGACTGTGGAGGAGATTTCGAAGACCTCATGTCCAATTGAGCCAGTAATGAGGCCCAAGCAGGCAAAGATTCTTGAAGAAGTAAATAAGCCTAACACAAGTAGAAGCACAACTCGCCATGAGCAAGGGAGGTGGGCTCATATGGCAAGTAATCGGCACCAAGGTTTGAAAGGGGAACCAGTAGACGCATCAGCCACCCGGAGTCCAAAACGGACTTGGTTCCGCAGCGGGGTCGGTGTCGGGAGCCGGCCGTACGCGAGAGGATCGGCGAACTGGTGCGAGGATCAACGTCCAAGTAAATCGAAGACATGCGGCCTAAGTTCTACCAACGGCAATAACGTGATCAGGTTGACTGGAACAATTTCAATGCCTTCACCTTGAAACAGACTGAGCCGAAAGAGGTAACAGGGTCGCAGTTTCTGCTTGACTGGGACTCTTCCTCAGTGACGACCGCACGCTTAGCTTCGCTATGCTCCTTGACGCAGAGAATCATGGCCTCGTGGAAAGGATGATCGGTTACACTGTGAATAGCCTCGTTAGTTTATGTAAGCTTGGGGTCATGAAGGTCAGGGCCGTACAGCACGGCGGATGCGCATGTTAGAAATCATGCGTCCGGGAGTCACATCGCCGGGCCATTATTTCATGGCCTGGGATGTTCTAATTGACTGCTGGATGGCGTCAACACATGTGCAGTCACTTTCATGAAGGATGATAATCGATTACACATCTGTCCGGCCCGATTCCCTTCGAGAGGGTGCAAGCTAGAGATAGGTTGGTGACAGATGTACTGGCGCCTTATAGAATAGCTTGGTTGAACTTGGCGATGATCGCGACTTTTGTCCCTTGGACTGATGGTGGGTGGTTCAGCCATTCAAACCTTACCAAGATGCGATTTCTTCGATATCACTACTAAGATAATGATAGCAAGCAGGGGCATGGTCAATTTCCTGCCGGGACTAACTGAACGAATGAATAGACAAGTAGATAAGATCGAGATAACAAGGTCGAGTCAACAAACAGCTACTGAAGCTTCACGAGCTCTGCATCACCACCAATCGCTACATTCTTGACAGACAGATAAGCCACTTTTACTCTCTCAGCCACCTTTTTCTCCCCTGGTCCCTCAAGTGGTGACACGATGAGGGCATAGTGTCGCAGCGGGTCCCACTCTGTAATGCTTGTATCGTCTGTCTTGTTGCAAAGGATCCCCGTCAACTTGGTGGTGATCATGCCTCTTCGGAAGGCTCGCTGACGTACTTCATGCTTGTTAGCAATGTTTGGTCAAGAGTTAGACTTGTGCGCGATTCTATTTGTTCTAGGCAGCTATGTGAGAGAATGATGTTTGATGGACTTACTCACAAGTTTCTTAATGAATACCGCGTCATTTACATCACCTACCAGTCCACGTCAATCCTTCTGCAAACTTCCTTCGCTGACCTGCGAAACTTTAACAAGAGTTGATCTAGGACGAGTCTCACATTTCGGCTTACCTATGTTCTGTATTCAGGAGACCCGTATGTTGCAGGTCTTATCCTGTCGATAGGAGCAAATCCCCTTGTGATGGTGGGCGGCCCACGTGCACCAGCTTCTGCATCCCGAATCATCCACGTCACATCCGTTTTCTGCTTGCCGGCATCGAATATATTCTCCATTTCTTCGTGGACCTCGATGGAATCGGCTCGACCAGGTTTTTCCTTTACAGGAGCAGCCGAATCTGGCGGTAGAGTACGTGCTCTAACAATCACCTCGAGACCTGTCGACTGCTGAGTATCTGGATCTCTAGTTGTGACTCTTACAACCAGCATCCTTTCTTCGATCAAACTGACTAAACGTCCAACAGCAGTCCTTTCGACGGGAGCGCAGCGGGAATCTTGCTTGATCTCTTTGATCCATCCTTTCACAGCATCTTTGAGATCGACAGACGCATCTTTGACGAAATAGGGCTCTCCAGGTCCGACATTTTGATGAAACTTCTGCACTCCCTCGTAGCCATACATCATCCATATGAGAGACTCAAGATACAGACAGCCGAGGGACCAGACGTCGTATCGCCTTGATCTGGCTTCCTGAGTGTCCGCCTCTGGGGGCGAGTACATGACCGTGCCTTTTGGTGTAGCCGTTGGAGAGCCTCGATACTCAGTGGCCATCTCGTGTACTTTGGCATGTCCAGCATCAGCAACAACGAGCCGCACGCCAGTCGGAATTCTGCCTTCGCCAATATCATCCTCATTCTTGCTGAAACACAAAATGTTCTCGGGCTTCAAGTCGCCGTGCCTGCAAGACTCATTTGGGTCATCTCTCGGATGATGAAGGTTCCTTATGGCGCTTGCAAGACCGAGCAGCTGCTCGAAAAACCACTCCAGGTACGTGTTCCAGTCTTGAGTGCTGGTCTCTTCTGATGCGGCGCTCAAGCTAGGTTGAAATTTCCAGAAATTACGCAGGTTACCACCTCTAGCCCAAGGAAAAACGAAGAAATGCCGATTTCCTTGAGTGTAGCTGGCAATGGCTCGGATGAAGTGTGGGTGTTTCTGGTCTCGTAGGCGTGTAAGGATAGTCGTCTCGTTCTTGGCGAGATCTTGAAACATCTCTGCCGTCAGACCTTGCGCAGACAACAATTCTTTGACGGCAACATGAGGGTTATCTTCAGCGTCAACAATTGTACCCTGTTGGACTTGTGGTTAACGTTTTTCAGAGTGACTTTGGCACGAAAAGCCTTACAATCTGATCATCCCGAGGGAAGTTGAGATGGCTTCTGTGAATGACAAAATGCCTGGCGATGCTGAAGTTGGTCGCATAAGGCTCGAATTGTTTGACGAAGGGCATTGGACAGCGCGGATCAAAAAAATGAGCTGGCTCGTTTGGGGCGAATACTGGCACGAAATATTGCCACTGATGGTAGTCGCAAAAGTCGGCAAGTGAGTCCCCGTCATATTTGCTAATCCCATTGACTTCTTCCTCGCTGACCTTGAAGCTGATCGACTTGTGAGATTCGCAGGACTGTAAGGTCCATACTTGAGAATCTCTGTCGATCCTGAAATTGATGGGAAAGTGCTCGTCGCCAAAGTCTGCGTTGTAAAAGAGCTGCAACCAATCTAGGTGGTCTCGCCGGATCAGGGCTGAGATAAGTCTCTTGGCCTTCAAGAGCACGAATCCCTTCACGCTCTCGCTCTCTTCTTGGAGCGCATTTCGGATTCCGTCGTTCTCTATGATTCTGTGGATTGACGAGAGGGGAATCCATGTATATCTTGTTTCAAGTCTGTGGTCGCTCACTGTGATTTCTGCATGTCGGAAAAGCTTTGCGAGACGTAGACGTTGCCTCTTGAGTTGCTGCATTGTGGCTTCACGTAAAGCAGGTCTTTCTCGTCTTGCAGCAAAATGTTGGATGATAGGATCCTTCTTCGCATCATATGGCTTTTCTGCCAGAAGTGACTCCCACTCATTGCGGTCGTTGCCAGATAATGAAGAGTGATCGTCCACCGCAGGCTCCAAGTCGAAAGGGCGATTTTCTTCGAAGTTCAATGAGAGGTTTTCCATCATGCTGCCTATGCCACTGTTGGCTTGGTCGAGTCTGTCTGGATTCACACTTGCGTTGCTTTTATTCGCTTCGATTCCAAGGTCCGTGTCGTCTATACCATTTCGGAGAGACAGGAAGCACCAAGACAGAAGATGTTGAGCGATGTGCTTTATCAGTTTAATCTTGTCTGGGTCCATGGCTTCATAATTCGGAGGCTGTGTGTGCTTGTCTGTATCTGGCGGCAGATGAATTTCACCATTCATATCTTCGTAATCATTGAAGCGAACTCGTCTGTCTCTGCCCAAGGGCTTTGTGGGGGGGTGATAGTCTACGGTATTATTGTTATGCCCTGTGTCTGTAGTCGGGAAGAGATTGACGGCTGTGTCGCACATTGGACACGTCTTTGCCGGGCGTTCTGTCTCGCTAGACAAGTTCTTATGTATGTGCTGATCCCAATCGTTTCCGTGTGTCTTTTCCATATGCTCGCGCCATTTCCGAGACTTAGCGAAACGAATTGGGGGTTGGAATGAGGCGCAGTCCTCGGAGATGCAGATATACGGCTTCAAGTCTTGATTGACATGGTTTCTGAGCCGACTGCATAAGTTATCTGGTATTTGAAAGCACGGTTTCCAGGCTCAACTTACCTCCACCAACGCGCATTTTTATAGTCTGTTGACGAATGGAGTCGGAGACAGTACGGGCATTCCAGGAGTCCGGGTGCGCCAGCCAACATTTCACTCGGTACAGGAGCCCGAGGATACTCAACATCCCCCGTCCATGCCGAGATAGTGCTCTCCATGTCGGATTGGCTTTCCGGCCTTCCGTATAGCTCTTTTTTGAAAAGATCCCCATCGAAAGTCGACGGACGAAGAGATTCACTAGGTGGCGGCTTGTGAGTCTGTGTTTGCTGAGGTGGGAACGGTGTAGATTGTGCTTCTACAGCTTGATGCTCTTTGGGAACTCGATCCTGGTGGGTTTTAGATTCCGTTTGTCTTGGAACGAGATGTGCCTCCCGCCGCTTCTTTCGATGCCGCTGATACAATATTCGTTGTCGCCGGTACACTGCCGACCTTACTAGTTGGGCTTGGAACGAGGTCTGCATCCCTGGAAACTTGAATTCGACAATGATTCCCATGAGATGCTCGAAACCGGCAAAGTTGTTTTCGTGTCTTTGAGCAAAAGAATCCATTCTCCCTTGAAGGCTCTTCTGCGATGACTGGGAAATGTGGTTTGCAATTCTAAACAGCCTCTGGATGCATCCATCAACTCCGTACAAGGGCCCCTCAAGGTGCTTGATCGTGTTTGAAGAGACCAATTCTTTGTCTTTGTCACCTAGCAAAGTATCGAGCATTTCTGGTTCTTCCTGCTGACATTGCACCGGACTAGGGCAGAAAGCCCGATCAAGTCGCAATACTGGGAAGGACACACAGGTCAGAAGGGTCACTTGATGCCATGAACGAAAATTAGTAGGATTCCTACCAGCTTCTAGGTTGACTTTCAGCAGCTTGAGCAAGGAAACGATCATGGACACTGGCTGCTCATGGCCGCCTAGGCGAACGTCGAGTGACAAAAATGGTTCGGCAAATACGCCTGTATTGGTCGCCCAAGCCCAAAACTTTTGCTGGAATTCTTGCATAGCGGACTTGCCATGTCGTATATTTGCTATTGTTGTGTCGAAGCAATCATTGCACGCTTTTGCCTCGTCGTAGATTCTGGTGCTGTCAAAGACTGACATATTAATTCCGGGCAGTATACTTCAGGTGTCATGTAGATGCGAGCTGGATATGACTTGGTCGCAGCTGAGTGGAATTCCTTCGTAGAGTCGACTATGGTGTGAGGAACAAAGTGGACAGGATTTTGTGACGTATAAACGGTCTAGGACAATCGAAAGGAGGAGGGAGGGGAAGGGAAACGCTTCTCGGCGGAGGACCCAGTCAGGTGCCCGAGCTCAATTGTGACTCGCGCACTTAATGGGGTTTCAATCCAGCATACTTCGTAGAGGTACTGAGTACGTATTCTCACGTTGCTAAGACACATCAATCTCCATTTTGTCGTCCAGAAGGTCCTTGCATGGTCTCTATCCCCCTTGGCTCGTATGCAAGTCACCTCCTCACGATCATGTTGCTGGTCAAGGCCGGCTGTGAGGGTGGTGTGCTGAATGCAGTGACCGCAGGAAACCGCGCTTCGAGGTGACGTGTATGCAGATTTGCTACTTCGTCCGCAAGGTTACTGCAGCCACTGAATGCACATACGGAACTACCCCCTAACACAGGCAGTGCGCCCCGCTCCTGCATTTCTTGGTTCGTTCCCAGAATCGTACTGATAACATTCATGAATGTAATGAACTCCCTTTTCTTCACTGCTTCACCGGGCCCCTCGCCAAACAGAACCTCGAGACTGCTTGCACGCTCCCTCGCTCAGAGGTGACGCAATGCTTGTCATACGAACTTTGATATCGAAGCAATTGTCCACAAATATCTCGATTTCTTCACATTTCTTCCAAGCTAACGACTCCGTTCTGCGTGGTGCAGTGCAATCTCAAATTGAATTTTACCATGGAATCAAATCAATCTAGTCGCTTCACCAGCTTCGTTCGGTCCGTCAAACAAAATCTGCCTCTTTACTCATCCTGGGCACAATCCTCGTCGGATAAAATTACAGAAGATAATCAGGCTCACCTTTCCGTTTTGGACTTGGAGATTTACGAATGGGAGATTGGCCCCGATCAGCTTCTTGGTGACAGCACAGAGCCTGACTTCCAATGTTGGCTAGGGATCTCTATCAAATCGGTGGAAGAGGGTAAAATAGATGAGATCAACATGCAGCAGGGGGCTGAACTCATTCAACAACATCTCAACAACAAACGAAGCGGCACCGATGGAATACCTGACGCTTCAGTATCATTTGGAGCAAAGAGTCGACCAAGCCTCTCGAGGTCCTACCACGTTGACAATTGTTTGGCGCAGGTTTCAAAACATCTTCTCCGAGCCCTCACAAGTTTGTCGTCCTGTTGCGATGGGGAGCACATCGCTAGGATCCAGCTTTGTGAATTCGAGGCCGACACAACCACGTGTAGCCAAGATGAGCGATCGTTTGGTCTGTATGTCTCTTCGAATAAGAGCGTTGGGAACTGCGTTTGGCATGAAGTGATATGCAGGGTCACAAGGTAAGCCACGTCAGCTTCTGAGATACACAACATCACATTCAAGATACTCATCTGATGGTCTGATGGAGGGGACACGTTAGTAGTTTGTTGACCGATCAAGAGACTGTCTACTTGTGTAGACTGTTACCCCACTTCGAAGAGCTTGACAGGCCCCTGGGCCTATGCCTAGATAGATTTTCTGGCTCTTTTGGTTTCCGTCACCACATATCACCCATCACTAGGCATCGTCTGGATGGCCCTCGAGCTTGCCTTGGGGAATTGATAGATGATCGTGCTCTGGCAGAATGGTCCCAGGGCAACCATTACCCACCAGCTGACAAAGCTGCATTATGCCTCAATCTAGCTCTCGGTATGCTTCACCTCTCAGCAGAAGCTTGGCTACAACAACCGTGGAGCATTGACAACATCTACTTTCCCACAAATCATTCTCCAGAAAGCAGAAAACCCGATATCTCCCTACCTTTTCTCTCTCGCACGCTCGAGATAGGCTACACAGCTTCGAGTGAATCACCGCCTGTGGCAAGGTCTCCTATTCTTGCCTTTGCACAAGTTATAACGGAAATTTGCTTATGGAAGCGACTGCCTCTGAAGAGTTACAGCAATGACACTGTCTTACGGAAGACTCTGGATTTGTTTACTCAAGATTCTGGCGTCTCGAATTCACAACATTATGCAGTCATTGAAGCCATTTCCGCCTGCATCAACTTCTACGTTAGGCAAATATCAAACAGCATAACACACAACATTCCAAGTCAAGATCCAGATGCATGTTGGGTCTTTGACATGATTGTGCGAAGACTAGAGAAGGTATCAGCATGCTATGCTCGCAGCACCGATAGCCGCAAACGCTTTGAAGTCGAACAGTTCGAAACAGAAATAATGGACGAAACAAAACCACGTTCTGAGGCGCCTCCAGAGATTTCAAGACACCAAATTGGGGATACTATGAATAGGTATTTCTACAAAGTTAAACCCAGTTTCTACTTACTGGCGAGTTGGCTGGCATGGAAGCATTGTAACTGACCAATTCGAATAGGCCTCTCCATACCACCGAGAAGACGTGGTTTGATAAGCTCAGAGAATTGAATCACGTCCTTGATGCCGTATCTGATGTTGAGAACTATTCCAAAGTCAAGATTGCGGTCTTAGATACCGGGATTGACCCAGAGTGCCAATTCATAGACGAAATTGACGATTACGCCGATTTCGTTAATCCTGGAAGCAGAGTCAAGCTTGACAGGACAGGTCATGGCACATCTGTCGTCGACCTTATTTACCGTGTGTATCAACACGCAGAAATCTACGTCGCTCGGGTTTTTGAGTCGAATAATGCGACCCCAGAAACACCCCGTCACGTCAATGAAGTAAGTCGTCTTCCATCAAGGCATCCCGCCTGAAATCTAACTCTCCAGGCCATCGACTGGGCCAGAGGCCACGGAGTAGATATCGTCTGTATGGCATTCGGTTTTGAAGCCGACACTGGTACAGTTGAAGCTCTACTCAGTCATGTCAGGAGCGCAGTTTTGGACCAAATACTGCTATTCGCTGCGGCTTCTAACGGCAGCTATGCGACCGACGTTATGCTACCAGCTCGCTTAGATGACAACGTCTTCTGTATATTCTCGACAGATGCAGGTGGCAGGCATTCTAGAAGCATGAACCCACCTCCTCTCGATTTATCTTACAACTTCGCAATTCTTGGTGAGGATGTCAGACTCTATAGAGGTGGCCTGGATTCGGGTTGCTCTTATTCAACTGCCATCGCATGTGCATTTGCCGCTCGCCTACTGGACTTTTCGCGACATAAAGATGACGCAACTGAATTCGAGTACGCGCACTTTCTCAAGGACAAACGTGGAATGGCAATGGTCCTTTCCGATCTCTCGGAAAGAGAGGCCGAGTATCATTGTATCAAGCCTTGGAAGTTGTTGGGAAGAAGATGGGACTACGGCGCACATCATTCTGCCACTGCGCTCAGAGATACCAGGAAAAAAATTCGTGATAAGATATCGGATATTCTTGAAGACTACTAGCACATAGCTTCTTATCAAGAATCGAGTTGGGTCAAGTTGGCTGATTCGCGCTCCATTCTTTCTAGTATCGACTCTAATGACAAATTTCAACCGCTTGAGGCTCATCATTTTCATAGTGATTACTTACGCTTCGACTTCTGAATTTGGCAACCTACTCTGAGTTGATGAATCCTTCTTCGTTCAGCCTTGAGTCTAGACCCTGGCCAGAGGACGCTGTTGGACCACTCACCCCGATCGTGAGCGCACCCAGACTACGAGTCCCAGACATGCAAAAACATGACCGCAATCTTCAGGAGCAGCGTCAGCATGGGCTATGTAGCCTACCTCCCTTAGGTGGAAGGGTGTGCCAGTTCCCACTGTTGCCCGCATGCTCGCGGTGTAGCCCCTGGCAATGCGAAGGCCAGATATGGCACGCTGACAGTCACGTGGGTTAGTTAGCTAGGTCCACCTAGCGACTCCTCATGAGCTTCCCTTCCTCCTCTGTAATTACCTAGAACCACATTTCTACCAGACACACACACACACACACACACACACACACACACACACACACACACACACAGATTGAGTACACAAGAGAGACTAGTTCCACTGGACTGGCAGTACAGAACCATATTATCGTTGACTTCGGACTATCGCACTGACCGAACACCATTCCGTTGTGATGTTCGCGCATCCGCAATCGAACAGTGTAGTACTCTTTTTTCAAAGTAGAATATTATCAAGCCTTTCCCACATGTCATTGTCAAGGAGAGGTCCCAAGGCGGGAAGGGACACGTCTCTGGTGTAGATTACAAATACAATTACCCACATTTACGATGATATCTTCGTGGTCATAACATCCCAGCTGTCAGGCCTCGCCGGTTAAGGGATAGCTTAAGGGGCACGAGAAGGGGGACCAAGCAACAAAGGAGCAGCTCGGGCATATATAGAGCGCTGGTAGTACACCTCGAGGGAGGGCTAGATTTCAGTAATTCATCTTCTAGACCCTAACAGCAGTTGGCCTCTGTGAGCTTCTTCCCTGTGTCATACACTTATTGACACCAGCCCCCTTCACAGACTTGACCACAGCCAATGATAGGTATGCGGCTCAAAGCAGGTGGCAACGTGAAACGTCTCTGGGTGGTCACATTCGATGGTGTGATCTTGCTGATATGAGTATTGTACTCCGTAAGAAGTCTTGCGATATGGCCGCCTAACATTAGGCAAGCGGAAACAGATGCGCGTTGGGCGTCAAGGTACAGTGGTATTGTTTACGTCCTTGCGTCCGATGTCAGCTTGCATCGCGCCAGTCAACCCTGGACAGAGCAGACAGCAGCAGAGATTCGCCTTGCCATGGGGCGATACGCATGTGTACGTTTACATGAGCTATGCATGTACGTTTTGGAACCCAAGTGAGCTGCGAGAAACGTGCCATTCTTGGATTTCACGGCATCCAACCAAAGGGTGCACCTGTGTTCTGCTGAGTTCTAGTAGCCGTTGTTGGCCGCATGTGCGGGGCCCGCCCATCACACTGCTGATGCCAAATTTTGATACACCATAGTTTCGCTTCCACTCATATGCTCTAAGCAGTGGGCTTGCATGTTGGGCACCATTGCATTGAGCATCTATTGGCCGATGAACGAATCGCATACACCCCTGCTGTTTCCGGTGAGACATGACTCTCTTGCGTTTGACGTTGCCTACCTCATTATTTCTATGAGAGTCGAGGGAAGCTGACTACCTGGCGACAATGGTAAACACAGCGGTCGCATACCTTGGCGCAGGCCGAACATTTATTGTAATTTATAGGCTCAGATTATTCTACCTTACTTATTGAGGATCTGATGTTTTTGTTGTTTCTATCGACAATAACTTTAGTTCAGCCTGACCAAAGAGTTCGGGGCTCATCCAGCCCTAGATATTCACTATGGCACAGGATAAATGTTGGTTTGTCCTTCGGCAAACTCACTATCCCGCTCCCATATATGCGGCAAAAAACATGGCCCGTGGAAAGGCAGAGGGCCCCATACAGCTGGGTCACATCATTCCACGGCTCAAAGACATAGACCAGGTCATCAACTCTTCCGGGCCGCACCCGCTGCCCAGAGATGTGCGAATTTGGCCGACTGTCGACAAGAACTTCAACTGGACCGAAACCCGAGATTCGGAGACAAATGCCAAGACTGCGGCCAGTATCCCACTTCTTTCAGCGCCGGGCTTGTCGGCACAGGGAGACATACAGCTTGCTTTCAAGAAGACTGTCAATAACTTTGCACATTTCGACAGATTGGATAGACAAATTATTCAGCCTACAAAGACGTACATTGATCAAAGCCTAAGATCACGCCAGGTTTCAGATTACATCGAAGAACACAAATCATCGATCCTGGAGTTGTCTGCGTGGAAGCTGTACATGATATCCGGCATCATAATCGCGAGAGGAGGCAGCACAGAACGTGTTGAAAAACAGGATTCCCGGGTGAATGTGGGACCAAAAGTGTACGAAAATTATCCTTATGTTTTATTCATGACACCTGGCCTTCCTTCTACACATGATTGACTTCTTAATCCATATCAGAGCTATCTCTCGGTTAGCCACTGCGGAGGCGACAATACAGTCATCGTCGTCCAACGGCTCTTCTATAGTAGGAGAGCACGTCACAGATTTTGTGTGGGCAGTGCGTCTTACGGAGATCAAAAAGTCATTTTTGGATTCTTCTGCACAGCAGAGCATCATCACTAAAGGGGCTACATTCGGAGTAGATTCTGGAGATGTTGATGTGGAAAAGGTCATGGCGGACATAGGAGATCACAGCTTGGAAGTCGTGGAGTATGAGGTATCAGACACAGAGGAGTCTCTGCTACTTTTTATTCCCAAATAGTTCCCTACATGTAGTTATTTATGACAGATTCAATTCAGCAGAACCGGCATTCCAATTCTCGCTTACATAACCCCGAAGCCGCCGGGCTTCTGTAGTGCTCCGAATATTTTGAATTCCCATTTGCTACCTATCCAGACTACTAGTACTTCCCATGGCAGGAGCAGTTACCGTAACCATGTGAACAAATCCCTGTGGATTGAATCTCTGATTGCCTGCTTATCTCTTAGGTCCTCCAAATCGTCCCGGCGTACTACTCGTTGCCTGAGCTCCGGTGATGATATAAGATACCATGGGCATATACAATCGAAACCGAGATCGTCAATGGAAATCTCAGAGAAGACTTTCCTCATTCCCCATTGCCTTGAAAGGAACTGGAATGTTGACGAATATTCGACGCGATCTGACTGCCGTGAGAAATCTAGCAGACTCGCCGCAAAGCCGGATGCAATGGCTGTGGAGAAGGATGTGCCTTTGCCAAGCTTGCCGCTAGCTAGTTTAATATCCTCTCCTAGAATAGCAAAGTTGCGGCTCTTTTCTAGTTTTCTTGGGTTGATAGATCTGGAGTTCTTGAGACCTGCGTCAGTGGAGAACATGCAGAACACATCTGGACTGTATCGAGCCGGGTAAGCTATATCGTCAGCGTGGCTTTCGTTTGCGGCAGCTGCGAAGACCAATTTCCCCTGCTTTGATGCCTTGGCGATAGCTTCTTGCAGCTCAAATCCTTGCACGCTTTGGAAACCCATGGCAATGCAGATGATGTCAACCTTCATCTGCAATGCCCAGTCGATTGCCTAAATGGGGAGGTGGGCATGTCAGCCTGATCGGGCTTTTATTATGCCTTTTGATACGAAGGCCAGGCAAGTGACTTACTCGGGCCACTAGACAATCGGCTTTGATTGTCTCATTCCTCTCCGGAGTCGATAATACTCTTGCCACAAATATCTCTGCGGGTTCATAGACTCTGTAAATCAAATCTACAATTGCTGTGCCGTGACCTGTGTCGTCCATTTTCATCCCATCGTCGCCATCGATAAAGTCTTTGTAACCGAGAACTTCTTCAGCATTGGAATCGTCATTGTCAATTCCAGTATCAATAACCGCAATTCGAGTCTTCTGACTTTGAGTCTGGGTACTAATTTCAAGCACATCGTTGACTTTTTCCAATCGTGAGAACCAGGTATTTACCGACGCGATTCGCGTGCTATCATTTTCAGACTCAGCTACGTGACGCAAAGTTGTTAGTTGGAGGAGATTGCCTACCTGTCGAATGTTTCACCTCGATTTTCCGCATGTTCAAGACTCGTGGACTGAGCGTGAAGTCGTTTTTCTGACTCAATCAATCGAAACTCTGCCTTCTTCGAAAGCAGAGGGATCGTATTTTGGCAGCTCTCTGAGTTCCATTCGACTTTTTGATACGGTATCCTCTTGAAGCTGTTTGCAAGTTCCTCGAATGGTTGCACAATTTCCCTCCATATCCAGGTTCTATGAAGAATAGGATCTAGACCTGGGTCTGCTGACCTACAGAATGCAAGACAGGACAAAATGACATCTTCTAAAGGCTCAGGGTACCATCGACAGACTTCGTCTTTAGTTCTCCTCAGTTCATATAGCAAATCAAAATCGTCTGCATGAGCTTCCAATCGAACTCTCTCGCCTCCCATGATTTCCATCACGACCTGGAGGAAGGATAAAACGTTTGCTCTTTCGTTGTTCAGACCTGCCTGAGTTTGCTGATTCCCAGAACCGAACTCATTCCCAGTAATAGATCTAGAAAGATAAGGATGATCAAGCTGCTGAATAGCGTTTGGTGAATCAAGGGGGTCATGGAGGAAATAGATGTTGTCGACCGACCACCTGTGTCCGAGCCAAGTCTCGCTCGACAAATGCATGAGAGCCAAAGAAAGATTCAAACACATTGTTGCTCTGTTCACTGGGAGAATCTGGGCACCATAATACCGAGAGAAAATTTTCCGATCGATCAAGTGTCCGAGTGCGATCGCTGGCTGGGTCGTTCGCCGATCTTCGTTCCGGGTGCCGCTTAAGACGGGAGTGTTGTCAGATAATTGGTAAAGAGTCATGCTTAAGCCTTCTCTATAGCTTGCACAGCTTGCCAGAAGGGAGCATAGATCTGGCTCGTAACTGGAGATGCGGCTGACACTTTTGTCGCTAACGAGATTCAGTCTGAATATAGGTACTTGCGTATTCCCTGATATTGACGACCGCCTTGCACGTACCTTTGCAACAGGCATTGAGCTACATGCCAACTGGACGATCCGTTACCAATTTGGTAAGAAAGGAACAAACTCAAGTGACGAGCGTCAGAGGGGTTGGGTTTGTTTTCATGTAGTGGAAAACCATCGAGGCAGATGCGGGCGACGTGTTTCCTGGCACAACATGCGGATTGATTGACTAGCGCCCAGTAGAGCTTCTCGGAGATACCCACCAAACACATCTCTACATGATGTGACTTCTTCAATCGTTGGTGACTCGTTGTGAAAGGCAGGCGTCGAATGCGCCTTTGACGCCGGATGTCGTTATCAGTCGGTATTGTCGTCACTCTCGACCCCTCGTCCATTTGAGATGTTCCAAAATTGTTTTGAGCTTTCGATGACATACTGAAGTTTACCCAGCTGTCGTCATCTTCCTCATTGTTGCTAGAGCCAGATGTAGATCTTGACTGGGAGCCACCAGAGGATACTCCATACCAAGACTCAAGATCCGTATCGATTGATGCGATGATACTTTTGGTCTTTGAGAGTAACTTTGAAGGGCTCCAATGAATCGACTCCGGATGCATGTTAACAGTCATTCCGACTTTGATGCTATCCAGAATTTTGATGTATAATTGTTCAAGACCAGATCTCTCAACTAGTTGCGCGTGAAGATTGTAATTGATGAGGTTCACAACAAGACAGTTTCAGACCTCTGCCTTGCAAAGGCCAACAGATGGACATAGAAAGACTACCTGTGGTCTTGCAGAACTGGCCGGTCTTCCAGTCAGACAAAGTTGTGCCGGACGGTGACGAAAACGAGCTGGAACGCGTGTCGGCCTAAGGTACATGGACAGTTTCGTACTTGAGTACGTAGGATTGGGCATTCATGCAGATGACGGCCAAGACACAGACATGCATAGCTGCAGGTCACAGCATAATGTAAGTAACTTGCCATCGCCATTAGTCAGATCAGACCCTTTTCAGTGGTTCACGTCCACTCATTGGACGGTCTGAGAAGATATGCAGCATCCTGGATCACAGAGAACGTGAAGCAGCGAACAATGCTGCAGCGATGACCGCTTATATCCCGGCGGTGAGCTCATTTCCATGGCACCATGCTCTGGGCAACACCTGGGCTGAGCTTTGCCAACACAACCAAGGGAGAATATATTCCTCTCTTATTCATTGCAGTAAGCATGGAGCACCTTCAAATGAATGAAATCTATGAAGCAACCATCCGCTGCGATGAGGCGTTTGATTACTCAATATCCAAGATTCAGAGCGGCCAACATGCACTGCAAGAGTTTCAACAACGCCTTTGGGCCTGGGCTACCAATGCTGGCGCTCTTGCTGAGCCTTGCCTATCCCTGGATGCACGCCTGCTCAGTCACGCAAAACTCAGAAACATGATTTTGACTCTCTTGGATCTGATACAAGACAACCTGCAAGCCGGTATGCATCGTATGGTTTCAATTGCATGCTGAGTACAATGGCCCGTTGATTCCATCACTGACAAGAGCATACAGCCGTCGATTTTGATAGCAACCTGTCTTCTGAAGGGGCTTCAAGTTCTTCAGCTACTGAAGAAGTTCCATATTTTACTCATTCAATCGACATGGATTCTCAGGTTCAGAGTGTGGAGCATTTGAAATACGCATTCCAGGGGCTTGAGGCTGCCATTCAACGGCTTGACTTGGTTGCTTCTTTGATCGACCATTCATCTCGGAAAGGACGCCAGAGACGTCTTGAAGCACTGAACCAAAACACAGTCGCAGATCCTAGTGTGAGTTTCATTACAGATGTCAGCCAGTTCGAATCTCTTTCCAGGGCTATTATTAGCCATCTTTGGCCGGGAATTAGTGGACAAGTCGTCATGAAGCTCGCCAGATCCGTGTTGTATCGCAAGCAACGTATTACGTATATGAAGTATCGGAAACAGGCCCGTCAAGATCCTCATCTTCACGAGGCCAAAGTACAGACTGAAAGACCCCACATGTTGAATGTGCGGTCAGCGGCAGATGGATCTCAGCAACAGCTATATCCAGACTTGCGCTTAAAGCCTTCGATGCAGGCAAGGCAAGTACCAAGCGAATGGTTGCGGCCGACAACAATGGATGGCGAGTCCTTTGCCAGAGGTCAATTGAGCTTATTTGGGCCCTCTTCTGACTCTAGAAAGACTTACTCAGTCTGGACAAAGGCCATTGTTTACCCCAAAGCACCAGAGTCCAGTTCCACGTCGGGTTCAGAGACTGTGACTGGACACGCTCCATGCCCTTTTTGCCACAACCTGTTCCCCTATCAACGGTATAAGGACTCAAAGTGGTGGAGGTAATTATATTCCGGCACTTTATGAAGTGTTTGACATCTCTAATAAGCTGATCTACGATACAGAAATCACGTGGATCATGATTTACAGCCCTATGTCTGCGTCTCAGACGAATGTTCACAGCCGGCAATGACTTTTTCGAATCACAGTAATTGGGTTCAACATATGAACAGTGGTCACGGTCCTGGTTGGATTGTAGACCTTCAAGCCATATCGTACGAAGGGGCCTCAGAAGGTGTCCAAAAAGGCAAAGATACACCTTCATGTCCCATGTGTCTCTACGATCCATCAGAAACGATTAGAAGCAACGCCGGAGACGATACCGGACCTCTAGAACTCAAAGGCACAGGAAGGACTCCTCTAATCCATTTCAGAAAACACGAACAGACGTTAGGTGGCCAGTCAATGGATCCAAATCGACCTCATCCCAGAAGGCATTTGCCAAAAGCAGCTAACACGAACTTGTCTCGTCATATCGCCGAACATCTGAAGATGCTATGCTTCCGAATGCTCAGTATAGATACGAACTTGTCTCAGGAGGTAGATGACTCACTTGAGTCGGGGACATCTTCGAACGGAATGAAAGACAGTCAAACCATTACCCAAATAACGTTACCCAATGGTATGGACAGCGAAATGGGAAAGATTTCTCTGAATTTCGAAGAGACCAACGACGCTATTCCACCTGAAGTAGCGCTCAATACTATTCACCAGAGAGGAGCGAAAATTTCAAAATCTAACTCACAATCCATCGATGCTGAGGAGAAAACAGAAAAAGATGTATTTGGGAAGACTGAGAACGCCGCTTTGCCACCATTCGAGGTGGGCAGTGCAAAATTAGTGTCAGAACAAAACCGAATGACAATTGACATGCTATCCACGGAAACGCCGCGCAAAATTGAACCCGCGCCCCTAAAAGAGGCATTAATCATGGCTTGCGAGACTGATGCGCTTAATGGTGTTCGCCAATACCTCCCACGACATTTTTTGGAGAACATCATCACACGGGAAAGCGTTCGGGCAGCATTTAAAAAATCGACCAAAGCCCGGAATTTCTGGTCTTTTTCAACCAAAGGGGTAGTGGACATCGTTTTATCAAACAATGTGAAAATGTTGTTCGTGATACTTCTGTATCTAGACATTCCTTGGGACATTGACAGGCTACATAAAGCCGGTTTCACTGATCTAGATATGCCTTTTACATGGAAGAGACCTGGTCCAAACGGTGGGGGATGTCTGAGATCCGGGCTCAGCTCTGACAAGACCTTTACTCCGCCTAAGCACTGGGGATACCACTTGGTGGAAAGCTTCGTCAACAGACAATGGATGGTGATGGCACCCGTCTTCGGCAGGTCGGGGGAGTACTTGGAACTTCACCCTCTCTGCCCATTGCCCCTCATTAAAGTGGACGCAATCATTCACAGTATGCGGAATGTGCTCTACAGGGCAGAGATACAATCCTCTCATGTTACAGGACTCAAGGTGCGAGAATTTCTATGTTGTAGATTCTTATTCAACGCTAACTTGTTGGGCCGATCAGGTACAATCTCCTTCCATAGTTGTTGCAATCAAGGAGTTCAGATACCGAGTGGGCTTTGATCAAGAACGGTCGAATCTCAGTGCTCTTCGCAGGGTTTCCGGCTCCAAACACATCGTGCAGAATCTTGCAGCATTCTCGCAAGGGGACAGAGATTTCATCATTTCTCCTTGGGCCGATGGAGGGAGCCTAGACAACTTCTGGCAAGTCCACGATGAGGTAGATAGGGAGTCTAAACTTGCTCTTTGGAGCCTGGATCAAATGCTGGGTCTTGTGAGGGCACTCTATGCCCTCCATGCAGAGCTTGCAGATGCCGGTAATTGCAGGCGCGATGACCTGAAGCCCGGAAATATTCTATATTTCACAGTTGGCACAGCAAAAGGTGATATGGGTATCCTGAAGATCACCGACTTTGGCATCTCACGTTTCCATCAAGAGGCAACTTTTGATAGGCTGAATAAGCCGACAACCACCGGTGCAACATCTCCTTCCTACGAAGCCCCTGAAGCTGTAACATCGAAGGCTGCAAGGTCCCGCAGATACGACGTTTGGTCAATTGGATGCATATTTTTGGAGTTCGTCATATGGCTTGTACAAGATTGGGATGCCGTTCAAAGCTTCGCCAACGCGAGGAAGTCCACCTCGGCGCATGCAGGTGGCGCAACACCATCACACTTTTACAAAATCGACAATGACTATGCTGTGGTACATCCAGAGGTCTTCAAGATCATCGAAAACCTGGGACGAATACCACAAAGTGCTCCCAACACTGCACTTGGGAAGCTTCTGAGGATTGTCAAGGAAGATCTCATCAAGATCAACCCTGCTGACCGGATTGATGCCAAGGGGCTTTGCAATCAGCTCGAAGTAGTTGTGTCGAGAGCCAAGTCTGATCCTGTGTATCTGTGGGACTCTAGGTATTGACATGTCGGGGAATGAACCTAGGAGGCAACGAGGTTCTGGAAATACACGGACGACCTTGGCGTTGTTTGTTCTCGTTGATTACGTTCTGAATTTCTTTTCTCGTCCCAGCGGCTTTCTTCCTCTTTGTCTGGCTATATTGCCTTTTTCTAAGCCCAGAGGCATTTTGTCTGCCTCACAACGAATATCTTGTTATTTTCGCGATCTTGGACCTGTCTTTTCTTTTCCTTCTTAATTTCCTCTCTTTGAATAATCCAAGATGAATCAATAATGAGACATCTTGAGCTACATAGGATATCTTAGTATTACTCACTTACGACTTACGGCTTTCAAACCCTTGAGCCTTACCATGCATGCCTAAGTCGAAATTTCATCTACTAACAATTGCGATACTGATTCAGCGCCTGAGATGGCTTCAATAAGACAAAGATTACTTCATTCCCTGAGTGCAGAACCACGTCATTGACGTCTAATGATCTACCCAGCCCTGCAGTAAATGGATCCCTTGGCTAGCTTACCTTTCATTCTGCAGACGCATGAGACGCGTTATACATAAACCAACGTTTGTCAATGTAGCAATCCTCGGATGTTGTACGAACATCAGATTCTCTGCAACCAACGTAGCAAACTGTGCAGGGCAAGTTTCGGCCTCGGAGAGGCGAAGACCACAGCTTTGAGTATCGTGTATGTTAAGAAGGGGCTCTGTAACAGCGGAATGATAAGTGAGAAGATAGGAGATACTCAACTCTTCTCACTCAGTTCCAAGTCGTCTATGTTTTGGAGTAAGATCTAACTTCGGAGGACTTAGGCGTTGTGGTCGAGTGAGAGTTTGAGAGAGGTGCTTTTCTGGCCAATTGCAAAGCATTTGGGAAGCATTCTGATCCCGCTTAGCTAAACCGGGGACTGGGACGACAAACAGAGGCATCCTTGCGATTTGGGTTGTCGTTAGAGAAAGAGCACAGCGCGTATTTAGAGCATAATGTGGGTTTTGTGCACGGATCAAGGATACGCTGTGATTTACCGGTAACGCGGCCGTTTAGCTTTGGTAGCACTGGCAGCGTAGCCCACCTCTGAGCGTCAGATTAGCCATAAGCGACCGAAGATCATGAATCGTGAAACCTAGTGTTTGCGATTTCCATAAGAGGTTCTTGTTAAGCTCAAATAGGCGTTACGCGTCTGCGTCTGCTTATGTCCATGCTGGGCGGGTTTGACTGCTAGGGCTGAAACTGATGTTCGGGGTTGTAGTGGGTGTTACTGGATGATAAGGTGCTGGGCGGTGCGAGGTGGTACTGGATGGCATTCTCGTGGTTTATCAGATGGGGCGTGCAAGGTGTCATCTGATGATTCTCTGTCAAAACTCTGTCGGGAAGTGGAGTTAATATTCATGGGTTAAGGAGAGTTTTTTTTGGAGGGGAAATTAGCAGGGCGATTTGGATGGTACTATCGTGGCTCGATGAAGGAAGGGATGGCGGTGTTACGATAGGCCATTCTTGGTCTGGACTCTTGGCCGGGTTAATTATGAGCTGGATGAGACGTGTATGAGTGTGGTGAAATCTAAAGTGAGTTTACCTAGTGCCTGACATGACGCGTCTTGGGCTGTAGGGATAGGTTCATAGCCTCATACTACTCGTATCTACACTATGGAGTACTGGTACAGATCTGTCTTCATAGGAACAGCGAATGGAATATAGCCATGGGTATTGAATCTATTGTGATGATTGATCGACTCGTTAATCGAGAGGAGTAGTCCCGAAAAGAGGAGCAAAAGGGGTGATTTGAATGTTGGATCGCCGCAGGCAAGTGGGCCCGGTATCATCTGGGAGGCCCCTTTTGCAATTAATTTCTGCATACTACATACCGGTGGTAAGTATCCGTACCAGTATGGAGTATCTGGATGAATAGAAAAGACAAAAGAGGGAAAAAGTCGCCAATGACAGGACTTGGCACTGCGTGGGAGGTGAGCTCAGGTGAAGAGTCGCCTTCACCTTCCTCACCGGGATGTTGCGTAAAAAAGGGCAGGAGCGCAGGCCGCAGGCTGCAGACCGCAGACCGGCCACGGGTCCGCCTTCCTCTCCCCCGGGGAGGTTCCCCTGACCCTTGATCCTTTACCTTAATTTTCCCCCCTCCACCTTTTCACCTTTTTACCCTTTCACCCTTCCCTTCCACACCTTGTTCCTTGGTTAAATTTCCCCTCCACACCACACACACCCACCACCCACGTCCACCACGTCCACCGTCAGTCCACACCTTTTCACTACCACCACTGCCACCACCAATGGCACACCCAAAAAGATGATGGAATCTGCCGGCAGCGCCTTTTAAGTGGATTACAAATCGATTGTTGGCTGCAGCCCAGCGACACCCACAGCTCACTCAGCAATTCACCACTCATTTTCACCCACTCACTCAGTCACGCTGGATGAAGTCTGAACTCACTGCCCATCGGTCACTTGCGCATCCGACCTCCGACCTCTGGTGCTTCTTTTTTTCCCGTTTCTGTATCAGTATTCGTAATCCGTACGAAATACGCGCACGCGCAGTTGACTGACTGACTGGAGACGGGGCCAGCGACCGACACCAAAGGACGCTCACGAGCTCACCATCTTTGAATGAGAGCGCCCATCTGATACCCCCCGTCTATTCATCCCTTTCAGCCTTTCAGCATTTCAAATCATCGCTTGTTGCATGCGCGAAAGCAGCAACCACCGTAGCCCATCATGTTTTCACGCAACAAGGACCTCTCCCACATGTCATCCTTCTCCAACATCCGCTCGCGCTTTAAAAACAGCATGTCGTCCTCGGCCAAGATCCGCAGTTCCGAGGGCTGCTGGACCTGTCGCCTGCGCCGCAAAAAGTGCGACGAGGCTCGGCCCGTCTGCGAGGGGTGCGCCCAGCTCGAGATCAACTGCTTCTACAGCGAGACGAAGCCCGACTGGATGGACGGTGGCGAACGACAAAAGGAAATGGCCGACCAGCTCAAGAAGCAGGTCAAGATCCAGGCCAACAACCGTCGCGAGCGAAAGTATCTGCAGGGCCTCGACGTCGAGGGAGGCGGAGTTAGCGGCGGAGGAGGAGGAGGCGGGCGCGGATCCGAGGATGGCGATCATGTTCCTCCCGTCCCGGCCCTGAGTGCCGACGACGGCTCATCAAAGGCCAACGACTCCAACAGCCCGTCCACCGTGAACGACACCCCCGGCGACTCATCCTCTAGTCCGCCCTTCCAGATGAACTCGGTGAAATCGTCCATTCATGAAATCGTACCCGGCGCATCACCGAATCAGATGCGGCAGCACACACCGGAATGGATCAACCACTCCAGCCCAGTATCCGCGGCACATCACCAACACCAGCAACAACAACAATATCAGCAACATCAACATCAGCAACAACACCAAAAACCCCAGCCCGACTTCGCCACCGGCACCGGAATGGGCACCTCCTCCTCCACCTCTGTCCAACAAAACTCATCCCCGCCCTTCGCCGACGACTCCAACCTGGGCTTCATCATGATCTACCTCGACTACGTCTTCCCCTTCCTCTTCCCCTTCTACAAGCCGGCCCTGCTCGAAGGCGGCCGCGGCTGGCTTCTCAACGTCCTCAACCACAACAAGGCTCTCTACCATACCGCCCTCAGCCTCTCCTCCCACTTCTTCGGCGTCGTCCTCGACAGCGCCCAAGTCGAGCACGCTCCTTGCCGCATGAAGTCCGTCAACAGCCTTCGCCACCAGATGCATCTCGCCCTCCGCGAGCTCCGAGCCGACATGACCCGCATCAACGAGCCCGGCCCCAACGGTGTGCCCCGCGACCCCCTGGATCAACTCCAGCAAAGCTGCCGCGTTCTCGAGAGCATCGTCCAGCTCCTCATCTTTGACGTGACCCTCGCCACATCGGACCACTGGCACATGCACCTCGACGCCGCAACCATCATCTTCCAACAGATCCTCCCCCAACCAGATCGCTGGGACCCGACGATGAACACCATGGTCATCCCTCTCCTCCAAGGCGTCCACTTCCCCCCGGGCTCCCACAAGCCATGGTCCTCCGACCAAGCCGCCCTCCGCTTCTTCACCGCGTCCCTCCTCTACTTTGACATCATCTCCGCCACCGCCCTCGAGCGCCCGCCTCGCCTCCAGCGCTACCACCGCCACCTCCTCTCCCCGCGGAAAGAACCCTCCACCGCCTGCGCCGAAGTCGAGCCCCGGCTGCGCCTCGAGGAGTATTTCGGCTGCCAATCCTGGGTCCTCCAAATCATTGGCGAGATCGCCTCCCTCGACGCCTGGAAAAAGGAAAATCGCCGCGCGGGATCCCTCTCCATGACGCACCTCGTCTCCCGCGCCGGATGTCTCGAGCTCGCCCTCCGCGAGGGAATAGCATGCCTCGACAACGCCTGCCCGCAGCTCATGGGCTCCCCCAACTGCGCTGATGAAATGGCCTGCCGCGCGAGCTCCTGCTCTCCCATGGACGCCGACAGTGCACCATCTCCGCCGCCGCACCCTACCCACGTCGACACCACCAAACTCCCGCCCGATCCGCTGACGCTCTACCAGTCTCAACAAAACCGCGACGCGACAGACGCAGCCCGCATCCACACCAAAATCTGGGCCTACGCAGCGCTAACCTACCTCTCGACCGTCGTGTCCGGGTGGCAGCCCTCCTGTCCCGAGACAGCCTCCAGCGTGGCCATCACCATCGACCTGCTCAACTCGCTCCACAGCCCCGTCTGCCTGCGCACTGTCGTCTGGCCCTTTTGCGTCATCGGATGCCTGGCGGACCCGTGCCAGGAGCACATGTTCCGCGAAATGGTGAGCAAGATGGGTGCGCTCGAGGTGTTTGGGTCGATCAAAGCTGCGCTGGGCGTCATGGAGAACGTGTGGGCAAAGAGGGAGACTATCGACGAGAGTTGGGATATTACAGCCTGCTTCAAGGTGCTGGGGCACGCTGTACTCTTGACTTGAGAGGCCTGGATGTTCTTAAACCTTGAACTCTTGGTTCGGTTTACGATTCTGCTGGAACAGTGCGCGCTTTTTGGATATCAGTGTTTGAACGACTAATCACAGGGTAAACCGGTCTCACTGCCATGGATTTTCGATCACACGATATAACCAAAGAAAGTAACTTGACATTTCCCAGTTATTTTTCTTTTATTATCAGTGGTCCCAACCCGAAAGAAAACGCCATTATGTTTTTGCTTTTTTCCCCAAAACAGCAGAAAGAGACCGAATCTATCCAGTAGACATTACCCTCGTCGACCGAAGCGACGTCATTCCAGCAAAACCGTCCAAAAGACCCAAGCCGTGGAACACAATCTCTATCACCAGCAGAGCCGAGAAACCAAACCTCCAAGGAAAACCCAGACCAGGAGCAAGAAACAGTGCTATTCAGCATAGTTCACGCCTTTCTCCGAGAAGCAGCCCGCTTCTGCTGCTCCAACAGCCCCAAATCCCACCACCCGTCAATAAACTCCATAATCGTCTTGCGCTTCGACTTCCCCCGGCCAAGACCCTTGCCATGGACAAGGTGCTCCACCGGCGTCATCGGCGACCGAGCAGAAGACGGGGCCGGAGAAAGCGGCGGCGCAGGGGAGACGATCAACTCGGGCAAGACGGGCATGGGGTGAACGGGTTGCCTCTGCTCGACAATCTGCACGCGCTTGTGCTGCACTTGGGTCGTGGTAGGGGGCATCTGCGTCGACATTGGCATCGGCGGGGGTGGAAACCACGCGGTTGTCCGGGTGTGTTGGGAGGCGGGAGGCGGTACAGCGACATGGTGGACATCATCCGAGTCCGAACCCGAAGAATAGTCGCTGTCAAACCGCTTCTCCCGCGCCAACACCGCGGCGGTGCCGAGGCTCTTCTTGCTGTTGCTGAAATAGCAACCCCGTACTTCCCTCGTAGGAGGAGGCGGGAAAGAAGGAGCATAGCCACCACCACCATTTCCACCACCAACACCACCGACTGCCACCCTACCACGGGCGCACCCTCAACCCTCGATATCCTTGACTCCCGCAGGCGCAAGCTTCACCCTGCGCCAGAGGCAGACAGTCGTCACAGCGCTAAACGCGAATAGCACACACAACGCAATCGAAAGACCCCAGACGGCCTTGATGGCATAGCACGTGCCCTGGTCGGCGCCGACCCAGATGAAGTAGTTGAGCGCGGAGCCGGTGTTGATGTTGGCCGTCACGGAGGCCATGAAGTTGGCGGTGCTACCGCTGGACTTGGGCAGGGCGGCGCAGTCTAGGTAGGAGAGGGGTTTGCCTAGGAGGCAGGCGACGACAATGACGGCGATGAGGAGGAAGGTGTCTGCGCCGGCGGCGAGGAGGAGGGGAAGCATGTTGTCGTAGTAGAGGATATAGGTGATTGAGATGTAGAGGGTTGCGATGCAGGACTAGTGGGGGTTGTTAGCTATCGTTCTTCCAATCTACGAATTGACGACCATTCTCCGTGAAGAATCCGTGGAACGAGTGCAGAACTTACAATAACAAGTGTGCCGATCAAGACGGAAGGCGGAACGGCATCAGCGCCATTGATCTCCGAAATAAAGTTGGACACCGTGCCGATGATGGACACCAAGGAAACGAACTGCATGGCGCGCATGGCGGTGAAGGTGTGCCCGAGGGCGCCGAGGCGAGGAGCGGAACCCATGTTTCTGTTGTGCTTCCGGGCGGCGAAGTCGCGGGCCAGGGAGACGGGCGTGACGAGGGTGAGCTTCGGGCGCGGGGCGTGGAAGTGGAGCGCCGTGCGGACGGGGAATTTCCGGGGCGGGAAGGGGATGCTGGCGGTGGGCGACGGGAGGGAGGTTGAGGAAGGAATTTTGGACGAGGTGTCGTAAGTCGCCTGGTGTAGCGACTTTGATGACTTTTGAAAGGACGAAGAGTAAAGCGTGGATAGAATGAGACTCTGAGAAAAGAGAGTTGTAAAGTGATTCGATGAATCGATAGAGAAAGTAAACTTCGTTCAAAATCGTCTGTTGTCGTTTCGTTCCGTTTGTCGTGACCTAGAAAGGAAATTCGGAAGATGCGAAATGAAAAATCGAGTGTTGACCGAGATAGATAGATGAGAGATAGAGAGAGATATGAGACCTAAACTTGACCAAGGAAATTGACCTAGGAAATAAGGAAAAGAGAGAGGAAAAAAGGAAAAGACGGAAGATTGTTGTAAAGACTTGTTGTGTGATGTTGATGAGGAACAGAAAGAAACTCGAGACTGAAAAATGGATGAGATCAATCGTCTTTATACATCATGCAATCACCAAAAAGCAACATCTTCAACCAGCCTAGTAACCAGCCCTGTGGTTCATCTGGCCTGCAAATGGTACCTGAGGTTACTCTGCATTGTTGTTGTTGTGTTGCTAATTCGAGCTCTCGCGGTCTGGACCTATACCGCTAGACATCGACTCCTAAGCCCATGAACATCGAGATATGGCTAGGTACCTTGCGGTTCCTGCATGAGATACGTCAGTTGCCGTACCTCTGTGCAAAGCAGTGAGTGAGTGGTTCGCCCTAGACCCTTGGAGGCTCCCGCACCCTGGACGGCACGACGTTCGGCTAGGTATGATGAGCCGCTGGGCTGGGCCAATCACCGTCAACGGCCGGGGTTGCGGTGCGGCGCTTAACGGCGGTGGAGTTCCGGAGAGGTTGGACAAGCGACGCGGGTACGAAATTTACGACGGGGCCACACGGCTCCGGGAAATTGGAGGCTCTTGGACATGCAGCGCCAGACTCTTTTTCTTTTCGAGTATCTCTCATCAAAACTGTGGAGAAGAAAATAGGCGCGTCCAATGGCTGGTTGTCATCGAGCCAGGCCCTGGATGATCGTATTGGGTGGCTGCGCGCCTGTTTTGAAGTCGAGCTAGATGGACATGATTGGTTCTGCTTGATCCCGGGGAACTCACCTAGCTTCCACCTTGGCCTCGACCTGGTGGACCTCCATGCCTTTTCTGCATCTTGAACTGATAATCGAACAGACCACTAGACGCGGCCACTCTGGGGCGACGATGGCGGAGGCTGAGGCGCCTGTTCATACGAGCTAGCCCAGGTCCCAAATACATGCAGGTACCGGACCTGAAACCAGGTCTGGCGGTTGCTGGCCAAGGCCGCATATCTTGGCTCCATGATGTTTTATTGTTGAGGCCCGTGCAGGTCTTGTTCCTGGGCCTCTGTTGGTTTGACGCGTTCTGTATGCGCGAGGATCTCTGTACTGATCCTTGAGCCTCTTGCACCTCTTGAGCCTCCCACAGCCGCGGGACGACGATGGTTGGCCCGCGGGCGGTCGGTCCGCTATTGATCGACTTGGCGTCAGTTGGGTCCCTATAATTGAGAGTTCGCGATAGAGTGCTCGACACGATCTAGACCCCGTTCAATCGTCCCTTCACAGGTTCACAGTACAGACGGCTTGCTTCGGATTGTGGGCGCATGAGTAGGTCGCGCTATCGGCCGCAGAGGGCTGTGAGTCCTGCAAATATCATGCCCCGACGATCAGGACATGCGTAGGCATCAAGGTCGCCCCATCAACACGCCCAGATGCACAAAGACAGCTGTCAAGCCTGTGAGAATGATGTCACATTGCACGAGGTGGAAAGATCCCTGAGGACACAAGTATTGAATGTGGTTCGCTTGAAATTTCAGTATATGGTTCATGTGTTGCAGTCTTCTTTTGCCTGCCGATACGCCTAGGTAAAAAAGCCTATCAGCACACGTCTTTTCGCCTTATCATCACCGCGGCGGCCTCTGTCTTGTGTTGTTGCGTGGCCAGTGATGCTGTAGGGCTGGGTAGGCTCCGTCTTTTCCACGCCAGTTCTTCGTCTCCGCGTCTTTGTATCATTATAGTAGGCTTAACCAAGCAAGTCGTCCAGGCCATGGTTTCCGCCGGAGGAGGAGGCGTTTCCAGCAGGCTTCGGTGTCGACGCCGCAGCAGGGGCACCCCAAATTCCTGCACTGCTCTTCTCCTTTGCAAGCTGGCCCAAGGCCGGGCCGGCAGTGGGTGTGCTCGTCTTCTTCACGCCGGAGCTAGCCTGTGACCACAGGGCACCAAAAGCATCACCACCAGCAGCGGCCGGCTTAGCAGCAGCTGAAGCCGGCTTTGCCGCCGCCGAAGCACCAGGAGTAGATGCAAAAGAGCCACCAGTAGCCTGCGGGACCGCAGTCTGAACTGAGCCAAAGTAGTTGGGCCCTGAAGGCTGGTATCCAGTAGGCTTGATTTGTGCGGCAGGAGAAGCAACAGCGGGGGTGCTGAAAGCTGAGTAGTTGGCGCTCGGAGCGGGTGACATGGAAGACATGCTGACCATGTTGCCGATGTTGGCCTGTTGAGGCGCAGAGACGGGCTGGGGAGCGGCGAAGGTCGTGGCAGAGTTGGCTGTCATGACGGGAGGGGACATGGGGGTTGCTGCTGCGGGAGCCGAGGGCGCGGACTGGAAGTCGTCAAAGTCATCGTCGTCGTTGGCAGCCGCAGGAGCAGCAGACAGGGAGGCAAAGCCGGAGCCGTTGGACGGAGCCGGGGCAACAGGGGCTGGCATGGAAGACGGCGCAGGGTCGTCAAAGGAGAAGAGATCGACTTCGGGCTCCTTCTTCTTGGGTGGCTCCGCCTTGGGAGCGGGAGCGGCAGCTCGCTCTGGTCTCTTGGATCGAGAAGACGAGGAGCTGGCAGCTGGGCGAGTGTCATCAAACTCGTCGTACTCCTCAAACTTGTCGCCGTGTGACTGTGTTTTGCCGTAATCGTTGCTCTCTTCTCCGCCAAACCCACCGCCGTCGCCGTAGACGCCTCCGGAGTAGCCACCGTAGCCTCCGGTCTCGCTTCCGAAGCCTCCATAGCGACTGCCACTCCCGCTGGAGAATCCACCGCCCATGCTCATTCCACCCTCAACGCCGGTGTACTTGTTCTTGGTGGCCCGCGCCTTCTTGCGCTCGGTCCGGATGCGCTCGACATCGCCGAGAAGTTCGGCCAATTCCTTGGCACGGTTGCGAACGTTGATTCCTTGGTCCTTTCCGTTCTGATCGATATAGTGGAACTGGCGAAGCATCTTGAGTAGTGTAATGTGGCCGCGGGCATCGTCGATGACTCGTTCGGAGCCGTGCTTGATCAGGAACTCGAGAAGCTGAAGAGCCTTGTAGATTTGCCGCCACTCTTCGGCGGACTTTTCTGTGAACCGACGGTAAATCATGGGCATAATCTCGTTAAGAGTAGCACTGGTAGAACGTCAGTATTGTTGGTTTGAAGCTTTCGGTTCGGGGAGGATTACTAGTTGAAGGTGCCGTTGGCAATCTCTTGCATCAGTGATGAGGACGCGCCCCAAGGTTCGTTGTTTGTTGCCTCTCGGACCTAGGACCTGTTAGACGGACTGGAGTCTACATCAAACGAATAATTAGATGGACGAACCTTGGACTCCATTTCCGTGTAATTCATCACGGCTATGCGCAATTAGCATGCGATCGACATTGGGTTGGACTGGACGGTTCGTGATTACCATTCTGGACCTTTCTGACGCCAGCCTTGACGTCGTACAGGGTCATGTTGGAGACCGTGTCTTTCAGATTGTTCCAATCCATTTTGGCGGTTTTAACGGGGTGAAGATGGAGAGGGATTCGATGAACGGCAAGCAAGAAGCCCAAAGGCACAGGTGAAGGTGGTAAACTCGAAGACGCGATGCTCCTTGTGGTTCTTTGTCGACGTTTCAAACAGAAGCGCAATCCAGCGACCTGGCCACCCTGGAACTTTCAGGCCCAGGCTCAGTCAGGTCAATCGGTCTCGGGCAGTGCGGCGGCAGGGGGTACGTACCGCATGGATGCGATAAGATTGGCTCAGTCTGAGGGAAAGGAGATGTGGGGAGGGAAGGTGTCGAGTCACGTGGTGTACCTCTGGCAACTCTCTGGAATTTGGAAAGCGTCAGCGGGCCGCGGGAAGGAGGAAAGAGCTTCCCTGGTCGGTACGTACTGATTGTGATGTACCTCTGCGCCTCGATCAGCTCACAGCTTGACTCGGAACAACTACTGTTTCTCCATGGGATATTCTCAGAAACCACCAATTGAATGAAGCTGTACGAGTTTCAGCTAATTGTGTTCCTCAAGTGTAACTGATCTAGGTATCTTACCAGGCTGTAGATAGTTCGTCGTTTATCCTCAAATTGGATGAATTACGAAATAGTTCAAGGCCTTGAGCTCCGACAGCTGTCCATCTCCAATTGACAGACGTGGGTGCCCGTGCTCCAATTCTCAATGGACGACGACCCTGCCGAGCGTGTGTTCCTCAGGTTGCTCTCGCGCCGTGCCGTGACCTTCCGCCCCCTTTGGGATGAGTGTCCCTGACCTCACCAAAACTTTTTTCTCCTGAGAAGACAGCAAAGATCCATTTCTTCTCTCATCAGCGACTTTCATCAACCTCTGTGTATCAACAAAACTTCATCTCACTTCTTTAACTCTGTACCTGTACCAACACTTAGACTGTGTAATCCTGCTCTTTGAGGTGTGTAAAACGAGTTCCTTCCGTCATACTCCTTCCTATTCCCTCTACATCTAGCACCAGCTTCCCTCTCCCCTTACCAAGCAGCCCATCATCCACCTTACCTTACCTACCTCGCCCATTCCCACATGAAAGTCGTCGGAGCTACCAGAGCTGGTCGTGCGGCCAATGCGGTTCTCATGCAAGCCAATTGGGGCTGTCAGAAGGGACGGCAAAGCTTTGCCATCCAGCCTCTGCAGCTTGATATGCTGCCACATGAGCCATTGAGCCTACCTGGCATCTTAAGCATAGCTCCACGCACGAGCACAGGCCTGGACTTGTCTTGTATGGCAACATACTGGCAACAGCGTCGAGACTCGAGAGCACCAGCCCGCGGTGACGCTGCGGCTACGGATGGTGCCATAGTTCATGCCGGGGAGACTGGACGGCTTCATTGGCCTTCGGCTGTTGCATGTTTTGATGCTCGTCGATGGCCGATGCATTGCCTTTGCTTTCCG